GAATCCTAAGGAGGAGTTGATGGGACTGGAGAGATGCCAAAATGAGAGAACAGTAAAAATAACAAAAAGAAATAGAGCCAGTGGAGGTCGGGGGATAAGGAGACAAATAAATCCAGGTCTGTCCATGCCCATCCGCAGCCCCCAGGAAGCAGCAGCAGAGAGGAGAACCTGTTAGAGACGGCCACCTGGAACTCCAAACCCCTTGCCTGCCTGCCTGTCTGTCTCTTTACTGGAGGGAAGAGTCTGGGTGTGTCTTTGGCAGGTGGAAACTCCTAAAGCTCCCCAGTGGGGTTCCTAATCTGGGTCCTCTACTTGTTAAGAAGAGAGCTTGTCTAGGCGGATACACTTTTCCTCCCATCAGCCTTGCGTTCTGATCTTTTGGCTACTTTTGGAGGTCAGGCCGGTGCGTCCAAGCCTCTAGTGTGATTCCAGAATTTAGTGTTTATTATGTCTTACTGTGAAATGGATTAAGCTTTCTCCAAGACTTTCTTTTTGTGCACAGAACTAGTATGGATTAAAATAAAACTGTGGAGAAAGCCTCTGGTATACTTTAAAACTTCCTTGCATTCATTTTGGTAAGTCCTTTCCTAAGTGGATAGAATAGAAGGTCTGTCTTGGCCTGGCTGTAGGGACGCCTCTCACTCTGCTGTGTGGTGAGTGACACTGGTGGCCACATTTGCGTGCAGCTGCCACTGCCTGGCCAGTTATCCACTTCACCCTGGTCTGGGGATCAGAAGTGACTGCCAGTGATAAAGGACAGTCAAATGGAGGAAAATTTACAATTTGGAACAGTGGTTTTTAACCCTTTCTAAATTTTGGAATTCATTTGTAAATCTGATGAGTGCAAGTCCCCCTTTCCCCATATTGGACTCACATGCAGTCTGTTGTAGATAAGTCAGGATATTCATTCATTCATCCTGGTCCTGGGATTGAACCTGGGACCCTCACTCTGAGGGCCACCCCCCATTTTGAGACGTGTTTTACTAAATGAGCCAGGCTGAGCTCAAGTTGCAGTCCACTGCCTCAACCTGTCAAAATGCTGGGATTATAGCAGTGCACCACCCCATCTTGCAAAATGACTGGGTTTAGGGAAGGACCCAGTTTCCCCAGCTCATTCATGGCTAACCTTATTTGAAATTCATGCATGCTTCAGAGCTTAACTGTACAGTTAAACTGGCCCTTGTTGTGAAAGGCTCTGATATTTAACTCTGTCTTGATAGCTAGTAGTCTTGTAAAACAAATTTAAGAGCCCATTTTCATCTTGAAATGAGAGCTGTAACTCATGCCATTGAAAGGTTTAGCACCTATTCAGTGTACCCTGAGAGGAAGGGCAGCAGCTACCTAGTTTATCATCTGTGTTCCTCTCACTTTAGGTTAGCTTTTAATTTCCCGTTAGTTATCCATTTTTATTCTTATCTTTATAGTAGTACAACTTTCAGTTGCCTTTTATTAGAAACTTTTTGTGTGCTTCTGCTTAGCCATAATCTTCAAAGCTGCTTGTATTACATTGAGCTGATACATCTCTCTGATGCTGAACAAAAGATTGTTTCCAGTTTTATGCTTTTTGGAGAATGTTGCAACTGACAGTTTTAAGTAGCTTTGTGATTCTTGTCTTAGTTTCCTAGGTAGATTTTCAAGGGTGTAAAATCATTCATTCATTCACGATATTTGGTACATACTGTATGCCAGGCCTGGCCAACGGTGTGGCCACTTCCCTGGCCTTGGTGTGCTTTGCCCCCTTTTCCATGGTGCTAAAGAGCTACTCAGCCAACAGAGAGAGTGCACGATTGTCTGGCCCACGGGACAGTGCTTGCTCATTACTCAACTAGCCAATGTTTAGAATTAAACTAGGAAAGTGTGACCAGGAAGGTGAATCCGAAGAGATGACAGGCTATCGCAAAATCATGTCTCTAGAACAACTTGTTATTTTGGATTATTTGTGCAGCTTGGCTTTCTTTTATTCTTATCGCTAAGAAATGAAGACCCCCAGGTGTACAATGCTGTACTGGCTTAACCATCTTATAAATAACCTATATATATTTAATTAGCCATCAGTGCACCTCAGAGAAACCTCATTGACTACGATACTGCCACTGTGCAAAGTTAACCTAGATAACCTAGATTTAAGTCTCCTGGAAAACTCAGTTGAAATTTGGTTAAAGTAAAACCACAAGGCACAACTTCCATTAATGTATCTAGACTTACATTTTGTGTTAGGTATATGCTAGGAAAACAAATGTGCCAGCATGTTCTTGAGGAGTGGAAGAGACAAACACGTGAGCAGTGGTTGCCCTGGCAGGTGGTGGGCACTGTGAGTGAGTGAGTCAGTGTCCTTGGGTGCAGGGAGCAGGGGTCTCTACATCCCCCGTTGGAAAGTTTTCACTTTAGAAAAGCCCACTTCCCTTTCACAGTTTATGTGCATGTCTTGGGACAGGAAAAAACCTTTTTATTAAAAAGGATAGTTAATAATCAGTAATTTGGGATGAAAAGGGTTTTTTTTTTTTCCTTTCTTTTTCTTTTTTTTTTTTTTTTGGACAGAGTCTCTGCTATTTAGTTCAGACTGGCCTTCAGTGCACTGTGTAGCCCAGGCTGGCCTAGAAGTGGTAATCCTCCTGCCTTACCTTTCAAAGCTCTGGAATTACAGGTGCGCACCACCACAGTTGCCTAAATCCTTAGTTTTTGAAATGCACATATAGTTATTGAAGACGCAAAATTGAATAAAGGGATCTTTGTCCTTTTGAATTGCAGGATGCCTGTCAGTTGGAAGAGAAGTTGTAGGTGGTGGGTGCTTATCTGAAAAGTCAATAGTTATATAACATTTCTAATAATCGTTAGAAGGACCAAAATAAAGTAGACCCGGCACTGTCTTATTAGCCATGACAAAAAGATTGCAGGGTGATCTTATTTGCTTTTTCTTTCCAGTCGTGCAAGCTCCAAAGCAAATAAGTTGGGCTGCCTTCTTTTCTGGAACCCCACGGAGACCCTTGCTGAGCTCTGTTAGGACTCTGTGGGTCTGTGTGGGACCTGGGGCTGTGGTGACACGCTTCTCAGGGCTCCTACTGCCAGAAGACACTGCTCTGTGCTCAGCATCGTCCACGTCTGTGCAGCATTCACTGCTGCTGTCCTCCTCTTCCTTCTTGAAACACTTTCTGTTAGTCTCCAAAGCGCCAAACTCTATATTCTTTTACTGCTGCCTTTTTTCACTTGCACTTCCCTCTGTTTCTGAGTGCTGGTACCTCAAGCCCTGTTGACATGGTTTGGCTTTCACCTTCCGCGGTTGCCCCTCAGCCCCACAGCTGTAGGTGACTCATGCCTGTGTGTCGAGTCGTTCGTGTCCTGTGTGTACACTCCTGACCCTCGAGTCCAGAAGTCCAGGCTCGTGTGTCAGGGTGCTTTCTAGCTATTGCTCCTTTGACAGCTCCCTTGCAGTCTCCAGAGCTCTCCACCAGACAGGCAGGCCGAGAAAGGTCTCAGTGCCCATCTGCCACCGTTTTGGGGAAATGGCCTCAGATGTCTGCCTCAGCCTTTATTCTTCCCGCACGGATACGACTTGCGTCCAGGTCAGCTGCAGTTTTCACCTTCAGAGTCAGAGTGTTGGTTTTCTCTGCCACATTCTTGTCCTGGCCAGCATTATTGCTTGCCACACTATCAGCCCTCTAGCTGTCCCTGTCTTGTCCTCTCTGTGTGTAGCTGCTGATGTGATTGTTATAAAGCTCCAAGCATTTCCCTGTTTGAGATGTGCAAATGGCGTCCCACTGTACCTAAAAGAAACATCAAGTCTCCTATCTGTACGTTACACATCTGAGCTCAGTTTCCTTATATAGAGAATATTGTGACCTCATTTTCATCATGATCTTCCCACTGATTTACATCTCCAACCCTTTCCCCCCACCCTCAATTTTGAGACAGGGTCACTGCCAGTGCTTAGTTGTCAAGGCTGAGCTCAAACTTGTCATCCCCCTGCCTCAGCCTCCCAGAATGCTGTGATTGTCATAGATGAGGGTATAGATTTTTGTCTGCTTTTGTTCCTGTGACAGTTTGTGCACATAATAGTCACCTAATAAATACTTGTTGGATGAATAAACATTCAGTTTGCATGAAGCTTCCAAAGTTTTTCTTCTTGTCTCTTTCCAAGCAGTGTAGTGTGAAGCTCAGTGTTTTCTTCATTGTATAGGAAGTTATATGGTAGAACATTTCTTTTACCTTTTCACTTTCTGCATATAGTGTCCTCTTGCCTGTTATTCTTCACATTAGAGGATTTACTAAGGTCACTAGGAGAATGTAGGTAAGTATAGAGGAGAAGAAGTAGCATAGACATGAAAAAAAGCAACTCTAATATTGTTAATAGTGACTCCTCATCTCTTTGTCCTGTTTTGACAGTCATTGTCAACTCATAACCATTCTGACCTGTTCAAACAGCCAATATTTAATTTGCATATTGTCTGTGGCAAAGAAATGACCAGTTTGTAGTGGTGTGAAACACAGGTCAGTCTTAATATGGGCATCATTATTGGCTGTGAACCAAGTTTGGGGCAGATTAGGTATGATTTTAATGATGCTGTAAAGGGCTCACAATAATTTTTCTGATTCACTTTTTTTGTGACTACCTGAAGTGTTCACCATTAATTCAACCATAAATTTATAAATTGAGAATAAGCCTGAAAGGAAAGTACATAAAACCCTTTGCAGTTGTTTATGTCTTAATGTATACTGTTTAACTAGACATGTTGACCGGTAAGTAACCAGAAATGCTTGATGGAATGCAGAGATGCCGAGGGACCCTGGGTGACCAAATGACACGGTACTGTTCAGCAGGTGAGGAGATGTCACTCTGCTGTACACCAGCTTTGCCTAAGGGTGACCCCTGTCTCTGCCCCTGTCCTGGTGGAACGAGGCTCCTACTCAGGTTGGTGGTGCTCCCAGCTACTGCCAGGTAGCCTCACTTGGATCTTGTAGATAAAATAAGGCTTTGGCTCACTGCATTGCTTGTTTGTTTCTAGGTGTCCTGCAATATATTCAGAACTCTCCCTCCCAGTGACAGCAATGAATTTGACCCAGAAGAAGACGAACCTACCCTCGAGGCATCATGGCCACACCTACAGGTACTCTGAACTCTGCTGAATCCCTGAGCTCATTCCTCTGTTAGTGTGGAATTCCTTGCTGGCCTGTAGTCACCAAGAAATCAGACTAGAGCACATTACTGAGAAGCTAAAGAATGCTTCTTATGTTTCTTGTGCTTGGTAATCAGGATGCCAAAAGGGCAAAATGGTAAGTTTCAGTGCAGTGCTCTAATGGGTCCGCTCCACCTCTCCTGTTACAGGTCCAGCCAGAAAACCGCTTCATAATCTCTTCCACTAGAGCTTTGGAGAAGAGAATTAGCTTTTCATTAATGTTAATTGAATGTGATTATCATTTCTTTTCCTGGTTCCTAAGAAAGAATCAGCTGAGTAAAAGCTGCGTGATGGCCTGGTTTGTTCTCTGCAAGAAGGCTGTGCCGTCCGCTTGCAGGGCTGTGCAGCGTGGCGCAGGCACCCCTACCCCTGGACCCCTGTACCCCTGTACCCCTGTGCATTTCCCATTATTGGGTTATGCGTGATAATCTCCTACATGGACTTGTTTGTTTCGCAGCTCCTATTTCCTCTGTTGCCTGCTCTCAAGACTGTCATTTCTCAAAAGAATAGAGCTTGGAGATCTAATCCGAACACTGTATTTCCGTTGGGCCAACCTTAGAGATTGGGGGCAAATACAAGCAAGGTGGGCAGGGAAGAACAGTAAGACAACCTTGCCCGTCTCTGCCCCGAGGCAGAGCCTCTCCAGCTTTGCAGGCTGTGCTTGGGGTCACTGGTTGACATTTTGAAGAGCAGAGAGCTGTGCAGCAGTGAGCAAAAGCCTGAAGATATTTTGAAAATTTGTTTTTTTCCCCCACTTCCTAGTTTTTGACATAAACTTACAACTTCCCCCTTCACTCTTCGTTAGCAGCTCTAGTTTGCTATAGGTGTGCTGCTTGTCTTAGTGACAGTGGTGTGTTCCTCCTAATGCTGAGGCTGGGTAAATTAAATTAGCTGAACCACTGTAGTTAATTTACTATCTCAGTCTTTAGAAATGTTTTTTAAGTGCCAGACATTCTATTTGTAGTGTAGGAAATTTGTAGAATTGTTTGTGCTTTTCACAGGTATACAAACACATTCTTTTGAGTGGGTGGATTTCTTGTCATATCTTATGCTTAATCCTTGATATAGTTCATTAATCAGCAGTTTAGTCTGGAATTAAAATTTAAAAGAGAGAGAGAGAGAGAGAGAGCGCGAGAGCGAGCCTCCTCAGGAAGGCCTCATGTTTGAGGGCAGAACAAACCAGAAGAGCAATGGCTTTGGAGCATTATTGGCTTCTTTGTGTCCCAGAGAAGAGTCAGGAAGATTTCAAATACTCTAAATCATGCACATTATCGATGTAAATTCACCTCAATGTGCAATAAAGTTTAATTCAGAATTTCAGTTAATTCTTCCTGGGCCTAATGACTGTAAAATGTAGGACTAGATTAATTTCTGAAGGTTTAAAAATAAAATCTGACATCAAAAACTGTAGCCTACACTGTCACTTCAGCAGCAACATTAACTGTTAGTTCTCCCGAGACCAGAAAGCCAGAGCAGCAGTGAAGAGCGGTGAGGAGACCTGCACCACCTGGGGATGTGGTCACCACCTGTTACAGTCCCAGCTGGTTTCATCTGTGTCACTGTCTGTCCATCCATTCACTAGCTCAGGGGAAAACAGGGCTGACTAAACCTGGATCAAGTGAAGGAAACTTACTTCTAAAATGCACAGGTCACCCTTCATTCACAGTGAAGCTCAGGCCTGTCACCCTCGCCCTCTGCTGCTTTGTGGATGGCTTTGTGCATGTCCAGACTGGCTCTGGAGCCCAGTTTTTCCTTTGTGCAGTTCTTCCGTGCAGATTGGTCATCTTCCCGCCTGCCCCAGAGGTGGCTGTGGTTGACGTGAGCACCAATTCAACAACACTACAGAAATCTCTTTTCTGTTCATGTCAGCTCATTTATATCAGTTATCTATCCCTAAATCACTAAATTTTACTTTTTACTTGACCCAGAAGTTTATTTTTTGATCAAAACATAGTGGGGCATTAGAGGTTTTTACTTTAACTATAATTAGCAATGTGCGTCCTCTTTTGGACCAGGTGTTGCCTGGAAGCAAAGTGTAAATGTCTGAGAAGGGGACAAAAGGATGGAGTGAATGACTCAGAGATGCGAGTTACCAAGCTCACTGCGCTCCTCTGCATCTCTTTTGATTAAGTTGTGGGCCAAACCAGATTATTGATCATAACAAACAGTGGCTCTTTGGAGATACTTAAAAATAGACAAAATAAGGGCTGGGATTTAACTCAGTGGCACAAGCACCTTGCCTGGCAAGTGTGAGCTTGTGAGTTTGATCCTCGTACTCCCCTCCCCCAGACAAAATAATGTTAAATCCACATTTTTGTTTTAAATGTGTCAAAGAGGTCTATTGTGTGGATGTCAGTTTGATCTTTTCTCTCTGCTGGTAATACTGTGTTTTAAGCTGGTTCCATAGTTGCCATGTTTTTTTTAAAAATGTATATTCTGAAATTAAGTTTTCTAGTAGAATATGATTTTGTAGAACTTTGATGGGAGGGGGACCTGTCTGTCTTTCTGTCTGTCTGTGCAGTTCAGGCTGGCCTTGAGCTCACAGCAATCCTCTTGCCTCAGCCTCCTAAGTGCTAGGATTACAGACAGAACTTTCATTTATAATAAAGGAATTATTTTTAATGCTTGACACTTGAAGCAAGCAAGCAAACAACAACATCAACAAAAACCCAGTAACATAGACTTTTTTGCTCATGTTCTTAGAGAATTCATTTATGTGATCTTGTAACGGATCCTCCCCCATCCCCAGTGTTTCCCTTTAGAAACTCAAGGGAGACTTTTGATTCAGAGGTATAATCTGTCTCTTCAACTCAGAGCACATTAGCGCTAATCGATAAGCTGTCTGAACTGTTGCCACCACACTAGTTTAGACTGCAGCTGCCTTGAAGGGCCTGCAGGGGCAGAGCCTGCTGCCAGTCCCTGTGGAGAGTCCTGCTGGCCAAGTCAGCCTGCGAGCCAACAAGCTCTGCTAGATGGCGGTCTCGAGCAAGAGAAACCCACTTTAAAAAGGCTGTTTGTTAGGGCTGACACTGTTTGAAGATTTGTGTAGTAAGGGAAGACCAACCCGTGAATTGTTTTTTTTTTTTTAAATTTTATTTAAGGAGAAAAGAAAAAAAAAGCAGGGAAAGGGTACAAGTTATACAGATTTACAGAAAAAAAAATGAACAGTAGGAAATCAATAGTTAATGGATTATATATTGTCATCTTAGAAATAATTGTTCAAGTCACAAAATTAAAGCTTGTAAAGTGGACATTCCATCAATGATACTGCAAACAGTTCTGTTCATTGATCCAATAAAACTCTGTGATATCATTTTCTATCTTATACACTTAAATATACATGCAGTTATATAGTTTGGAGCACTTTCTTTTCCTCTCTTTTGTACCATGACTATTACACATTTTGGGTTTCATTGCTCCCATGGTTCTTATTACTTTTTTGGAAGAGAGTAAAACCAAATGTGACATAACAGAACAGAATCGGTCAAGTCAAAAGGGTGGACATAATAGATAATATAAAAACATAATACAAGGTGATCAACAATGGTTACCATAATGCCTCCCGCTATCTCTAATAGAATTGACTATATCGTTAGTTATAATACAATTGAACAAAACAGTAAAGAATAAAACCGACAAAACCAAAACTTTGGAGACATTGTAGGTCTTCAAAAGTAGATAAAAGGCAACAAGAATGGGCGTTATAATGAATCTCATTATCTTCACAGCTGATGCCTAAACTTTCGAACCTGATACTATCCAGCAAAACAGAATAGGGGAACATCAGTTAAAAACCAGATGGTGAGAGTAATACAGGGCTTTAAATCAAGGTAATGAAAAGTCAAAGTGGGTTACTATAATATATCCTGCTATTTTTTTCCTTTAATTAAAAGGATAAAGATAAAAAAGTAAATAATGGAGTGGAGATTGAGATAAAAGAGGGCATAACAACGAAACAGCGCAGATCAAAACATAACCATTTAAGCAGAATAGTGTTTCACCACCAGATAATCCTAACCTAAAAGTAGTTACCATATTGACTCTTTCCTTGAAATCCTTGAGTACAACTTCGTATACTGTAGCATTAAGTATATCAAAACAATGTAAAACCATTCAAGAGAATGACAGCATTACAGAGAATTTAGAATCGACTAACAGAAAATGAACAATGGTTTCTGTATAATCTCCTTGTCTTTAAAAGGTTTTTGCTTATACTATCGTACATAATAAAATCCAGTAAGATACAACCTATTTAGACCATTGGAGACAGAAGGACAAAAGCTAGATGAGACTTCAAAACAAGATGATACTAAATCAGTATTACCTATTAAGATGTCATTTTCTCCAAAATAGCTGTTCCTATCATCCAATCTTCTCTGCCTCATTTCTGTTGAGCTCTTTTTCTGTCAGTAGCTGTCAGTTTGTCTTCTTCATTTTGTTCTCTGCTCCATTTGTTGTGGCCTCTCTGCCATTATTTCTGGATTCTTTGTATTTTTCTTTTTTTAGAATATCCTGCAATACTCTCTGTAGAGCTGAATTGGTGGTTGCAAATACCCCCAGTTCCTCTTTATCCTGGAAGCACCTTGTTTTTCCATCAATTTCCAGGGACAGTTGTGCAGGATATCTCAGTCTTGGCTGGAGATTATTATCTTTCAAAGCTTGAATTATTTCCCCCCACGCTCTTCGTGATTTGATGGTTTGTGCCGAGAAATCTGCTGTAATTCTGATGGGTGTTCCCTTGTAAGTGATCTGTTTCTTGTCTCTTACAGCTTTTAATATTCTGTTCTTGTATTGAATTTCTGGAATTTTTATTATTATATGCCTGGGTGTTGCTCTGTTTGGGTTGTAGGTAGCTGGGGTCCTGTATGCCTCATACATCTGAGTATCTTTACCTTTTGCTAAATTAGGAAAATTCTCCTGGATTATTTCTGTGAGTAGCTTTTGTAGTTCACTTGTTTGTGTCCCTACTTCTTCTTTTATGTTCTTAATCCTTAAGTTATGGCTCCTCTTATCATCTTCTTGTCTTTGTATTATTGCTGTTTGTTTCTTTGTTATTTTTAAGAAGTTTTTCATTTCATTCTCCCATATTACAAGTCTGCCCTCCAGTTCAGATAGTCTGTCCTTAGTTTCTTTCAAGCTGTTATGCCAGTCTTCTATAGACTTCTTAGTATCTTGGTAGTCCCTTTGAACCTGCTTCACGTATTCTATGCTTTCTCTGTTTTCTCCATCAAACAATTCTCCCCTCTTTTTCTGTTCTTCCATTCCACCACCTGTTTTTTCTTGGGTGGTACTTAGCATTTCTCTAACTATTCTGCATACTTCTAGCTTCAGGTCGTTGATAACTTCATTCCTGAATTGGTCTATGAGGCTCTCTATATGGTGCCTTATGTGTAATGGTGCGGTGTCTGCTATTGCCTGTTTCTCAGAATTGGGGGCCGAGGAGCCTTTCTTGTTGCTGCCTCTTCCCATGCTGCCTCTTCTTCTCTGTTCCTTATATATGCAAGCTTACATAAGAGGCCCAGCTTCTCTCCCAGTCAGCCACAGCCTGATCGAATTGCGCCAGTTAGGTGTTCCTGCTCACCGCTGCGCACCAGGGAGTTACAGACCAGGCAGCCTACGCGTCTCCCCTCCCGGCCACCATCAGGCTCTGGGATCTGGGTTGGGACAGCCTACCAGGTCCACCGGCAGCGTCACGCAGGCCAGGCACTTTTCACCAATCCCGCCCGAGAGGGGTATGTGTGGCTGGAGTCGCCACCGCGCCCTGCTCCCGCAGGACTGCTCGGGCCCAGAAAGTCCTCTGCTGGAGTCAAACTGTGGTAGAGTGTCAGTTTCTCTCACTCACCTCACCACAAGTCAGTGCACGCCTCCCTGCCATTCGCAGATTGCCGTTCTCAGAGCTTCTGTGCGTCTCTCTCGTTGCTGAGCCGCTGTGGAGGCAGCCAGCCGCCGCGCGGCGGGAAACCCAAATCGCAGCTTACAATGGCGCGGGGTCCAGCCTCCACACCGAGGCTTTTCTGTTCCTGTTTTAGCACCAGGACTGCATTCCAAGTTGGTTTCTCTCAGCCCAGTTCGTTCCTGAGTCAGCATAGCATATCTCCACCTGCTTATGTCTCCTTAGTCCGCACTATTCCTGGCTTCTGAGCCGAGTCTTTCCGAGAGCCTCCGGTAGTTGCTGTTATCTGTCCGCCATGTTCTCCCGGAAGTCAACCCGTGAATTGTTAAGACTCAGGCATTATTGCCACCAAGAAAACAACACGTGAAACCTGGCTGGCAAGGTCCAGATTAATAAGAAAGAAGTTTTTCTGTATTTAGGCAATTTCAAAGTGAAAATGCAGGTTGGCAAAGGCAATTCTTTAGAGCCTGAAATCACAGGGTAGGTGTAAGATACTAATATGTGCAGACCCTTGGGGGCCCTTAATCTTGATTCGCAGCAGCTTCAAGATCAAAACTGCTTTGATAATAGTACAGTATAATAAGTAGTATATTATTTTCTTTTTGGCCATATTGATTGCCTTCTTACCAATTTCAGTATTGGGTGTAAAAGCAATGCGTTAAAGTTAAAAATGTTCATGGGATATGTATATATATACCAGTTCTCCAAAGCAAATGTAATTGTTAAGAATTGCAAACATACACTAAAAATAAATGCTGTTGCCTTGGCAGGAATCAAGGCACACAGTCCAGCGGGCCAGCTAGTCCTCGTATTCCTCACTGCTGTGTGCTTGTCATTCCAAAAGCCAGTTTCAGTTGGAGGGTCCTGAAAGAGCAGTAAAAATCACTAACTTCTTTAAAATTTGACCCTGGAGCATACATCTGAGAAAATATTGCACGTGGTGAAAAGGTTAGTGTGTCCCATTCACATGGACTGCATGCCCAAGTGGCGTGTGCAGAGAGGCCCTTGTGCTGTACTAGCTGGGCTCTTTATTTTTTAATGCAGTTTTACTTAACAGGACCAACCCATGAGACATGGTTACTAAGACTTCAGTATTTGGCAAATAGTTGCTTTCTAAAGCAAACAAGGAAACCAATTGTTAGTATTTATTACCACTGGTAGAATTAGAATTTCAAAGCAAAATTTAGGATTGGGATTTTAGGAGGCCTGAATCTGTAACTCGGTGAGCCATACTTCACAGGTGGCAAGTGAGTGATGTTAGGAAACGCGTATGGGGGATGATAGATTAGTGCAAGACAGACCATTGGATTCAGTGTAAAAGTGTGAAGAATTCATTGGTACTGTTTCAGATTCTGTGTTGCAGCTTATCTTTAAGAAATGATAGTGTGTTGAGTTTTAGCATAGTATCAAAGAATATGCACAACTATGAGAAGGTCATTAAAATGCTTTCCTTTTCTCCAACTATTAGATCTACTTGATTTTCTTTAGATTCTTCAGCCAAGCCAGTGTATCATAAGAGATTGAGTATAGAAGCAGATGAAAATCTGCCTTCTGTTAAACCAGCCACTAAGGAAATTCACTAAAATAGAAAACAGTGCTTGTTTTATCAGTAACTTTTTTACAAGTTATTTTTCACAAAACTATGCCACTTATATTAACATATAATACATTTTTTTTGTTTTAAAATGAAATGTTTCTCAGTTTTCTTCTAATATATGTGGTATAATTATGTATGTAGTATATAGATGCACAGTATATGTATATAAATATATATCATGTGTAAGTATGACCTGGGGGGGTTCCTCCAAAAGAGTGTGAGTGAGAGAGACTAACATTTGCAAGTGCTATTTTAGGCAGTATGACAGTGATTGTACCTACTATGAAGTCACTGTTAAAAGGTGTTATCTGTAATATCACATTTAATTTAGGGATTATCATCCCTATTATAAAACTAAAACATTTCAGAGAAACTAATGTGTTAAGATTATGAAGCAATAGATATAGTCTTCCAGTTTTCCAGTCTTTTAAACGTATCGATTTTGATAATAGTATTATAGAGTATATACCAGGATCTGTTGTAGCTTTTAACACAGATTTATTATTCAGAGAGAAAGAATGATCCCCCATTGTTTATCAGAAAGGTTATTTGAGACTGATTCTTTGCAGATGAAAGTATTTAGAATATTCTTGCTGCTAACTTTCACTTATACTAACATGTATTTCTTGGAGGAGTGTAAATTGTAATATACTTTTTGAAAGGAATTTGGCAGTTTAGTATCAAAAATCCTGAATGTTTGGATGTTTTGTCTGGCAATTCCACATTTAGTGGAATACTAGTGAAATTACTAGTGAAATAATTGAAAATGTACATATTGTGTATGTCCTATGATGTACATTGTAGCATGAGTTTATAGAGAAATAATTGAGAACACAATTAAATGCATATAGGAGATTGGTTAAATTATAAATAATGGAAATATTATAAATTTTGTATAATAAACTACTTATAGCTACTAAGAATGATGCCTTAATGTTGATTTAAGTTATTCATAGTATATTGTTTAGATGACAAAGATAGTATGTCAAACTATATAAAGATATTTTCATATATTGATATATTATAAAAGTATATATTAAAATATTAACAGTGATTGTCTCTAATAATGAGATTGCAAGGAATTTTTATTTGCTTTGTTTGATCATATTTTCTAATAGTTATTTTTTGAAAGTTAAAAAAGAATAACAAGTGTAAGTCACAATAAAAAACTAGTATGGCTCACTGAAATTAAAACTTAGTTTCCTAGGCTCTGTTTTAGTATAATAAACTTTGTGGTTTTTAATATTATGCTTAGTGAGTTATAAGTTGAAGTTAACTCTAATCTGTTTGTTGCAGCTTGTATATGAATTTTTCATACGATTTTTGGAAAGCCAAGAATTCCAACCCAGCATTGCCAAAAAGTACATAGATCAGAAATTCGTATTGCAGGTAAGCAGATTCTTGTGCTTGCTTTTCTTTGCTAAAAGTTGTTAACTCTATGTCATTTTCTCTTGGTGTTTGTTTAAAAACAGTGTCACACTGACAGTTCTGTCATCTTGTCAACAACTGTGTACATACATTAGTTCTTATTGCCCATTAAATGTAGTAGGTGCCTCTTTAATTTATTTGTGATGGAAATTAATTACCTTTGAAACAGCCAAGAATGCAAATGTCCAAATCCCCATAGTTTTCTTTCTTAAAGTAAATTATAAAGGAATTTTCATTCATATAACTCGTTTGTATGGCTCTTTATGTAGGTTTGAAACTTACATTTGGGTAAAGATTCTTAAAAGAACTTTAGATCTATTAAAATTCGGTAGGCAAACTTACAGAGCGTAACTAACCTTTAATGATAGAAATAAGAAAACTGGCAAAATTCCTCAGTTTATTAGTTTAAAATATTCTAGAAAGGATTTAATCTATTTTTGGAACTCCTTCAGGAACACATTTTTCTTGACTTGTTTATAATCATAAACGACATCCTCTTTTCATAGCACTGTACTTGGGTCACTCTTGCAGCACTAAATTTTATGTCTCACTCTCATTTATTTCTAAAAATGGACACGAGCCAAATTAGCATATTGGAGCTCCTTTCTAAGTGACATGTGGGGTGCCTCACTTGGAAAACAATATCTTAATCTCCTTATAAACCACTAAACAGAACTTCAAATTAAAAACATTACATTGGCAGAAGATTGATCTTCTTTCTTCACCAGAACAAAGGCTGATAACCATGATGACTTCATTCTCTTCCCTAATTAAATCAATAAATTTAGAATTTTGGATAGAGAGGATGAATCCTAGTGGATATTTGGAGTGTTTTGGTATTGAAAACATCGCTGTATAAAAGGGCTCAATCAGGGCCGGGGATTTAGCTCAGTGGTGTAAGTGCCTTCCTGGCAAGTGCAAGGCTGTGAGTTCAGTCTCCAGTATCCAAAAAAAAAGGTTCAATCCATGCGAGCACCCAGGCAGGCGGCTGCAAACAGCTGAGGCTGTAATAGCTTCTGTACCACTGAGTCAGTGGCCACGTGACACCAAATGCAAGTGCAGATGTTAGCCCATGTAGGAGAGGTGCTTTGGAGCCTTTCCTGGGTGCTGGGTGGAATGATAGTGCTGGAGAAAACCTGTGTGCCCCATCCCCTGGGCCATAGGGGAACCATCCAGCTGTGTGCCACACCTGGAGGGCCTGGGACTGTGCTGCTGGTTGCCGCCCTTCTCTGGTCAGCAGCACAAGCGCCGCCTGAGATCAAATCCTTTGTTCCATCCACCCCTTTTCACTTGTCAGAGTTTGAAGCCTTCCCCGTCTTTGAGATGTCTATCTCAAGCATATGTCTGAACAGAGCCCAGAGCCTGGTCAGGCCAGCACAGCTTGGTTAGGCTTCCTGCTCATTGGAGAGACTGTGTTTCTTACAGAAGAGTCACAGAGTTTCTTACCAATTCCTATTGAGTTGTGGCCTGAACTGACTTCTTACTGACCTTATGCACTTGTAATAAAGCCACGTTTCCCCTAGTTTTAATGTAATTATACAGCTTATTTTGTTTTTAATCTGCACAGAGGATTTGACATCTTTTTTCTCTTGTCTACCTTATATAATGTGTGTTGCATCTTAACAACCTCTGTGACCTGCTTCAGTGTTTTTAACTCTTGACCTTATCCAAGTCACTGATGGCAGTCATTAAAAGTAGCCAGGGCTGATACAGGCCTATGCTTTGGATTTAGAAATTCTCTACTTTAGACAGATTCATTTATCTATGGTCCTTGAATTCTGTCTTTGAGCCAACTAGAGATCTACTGTAGTACAGTATTGTTCTTCTTGCCGCTTGTAAGGAGAGCATAGCATAGCTGCTGGATCATGTAAAAGCCAAGACCTCGTGTTTACAGTGTTCCCTGCATTTGGAAACTGATTTTATTATAAAAGGGAATTCCTTCACCTGCTATGTGACACTTTGGTGCACTCGAGGGGCTCCTGTGTTGATCCTGCCCTACCTGCTGTAAACCACAGGATTATTCATCAGTCCTAGACTTCTGCCAGAGATAAGAAATCATGTGTAAGCAGTGACATGGTTTATGTTTTGTGCTTTTTGTTTTTCTAACTTTTACCTTTCCTGTGCTTCCTTTCTCTACACTTTTGTCTGCTGGCAATGATGGGTACCAGTGCCTTGCACGTATCAGGCCTCCATTCCCACTGACTTCCCGTGGCTGGTGCTGGCTCGGGTCCTCTTCAAAGCCCGAGGAGTTCGTGCTGCAGCTGTTTCTTCCTGTCCGGCCTGCAGCCCTGCCGTTGGCCCATGTGTCCCCGTCCCCGAGGTGGCCCCTTCCCCTGCTCTGCACACCTGACAGGGCTTTCTGGGGGTTGGTGAGGATTGAAACCAAGGCCTTGTGCATGCTAAGCATGTGCTCTTATCACTGAATACATTCCTAGCCTTGAAATAAAACTTTAAAATATACACGAAACTTTTAATAAAATCTTACAAAGCAGATTCAAGGGCAGAAATGTTATGTATTTTTATAGGAGAAAGCTCACCACCATAAAGACATCCATATAATCTCCAAGTTCATTGATGTATTTAGTGCAATTATGATTAAAATTTCATAGCTTTTTTGATATTTCAGATTTCATGAAATTTTTGTGAAAATTATCAAATAATAAAATATCTTGATCCTTAGCACTCCAAAAAAATTATAATAAAGCATTCTATAATGGTACTTAATTAAAACTGTGGTGTTGGAATGGCAGACTGGAATGTAATGGACACTTTGGTTAACATCTTTCTGAGTCTGCCATAAAACCCGTGAGAAAATGAACCAATAAAGAAGCCCAAACATACATATGTAAAGTAAGTCAGTTTAAGTGTTATGCATGCAAATCCTACAGTACTCTTAGCAAGTTTTGAGCCAAGGTTTTAGTAAGAATCAGCTGAGTCCACAGTGATAAACATACACAGATATTGTTAATACTTATCATAAGTTTGAGAGCAACTTAACTGTTCCTCAGGACATTCATACAGTGCAGTGATGGTGGCCCCATGGCACATGTGCTGCCGCGGACTGTTTGGGTTGTTGAAAGCTCTAGGTTGGTCATGACTGATGTAGTACAGTATTCATCAGTTAGTGAAAAGAATGTGATGGGGCTTTTCCTGATCCAGTAAGTATAGCACGTGCGCTGTAGAACATGGTAGCTTTTGAGCCTGTGCCTGTGATTTTAAGGAAGAGAGATGTTTCCATTTTGTCTTGGTTGGTTTTGTTGCTGTAACAGAATGCTCTACTTCTCCCTTATCCGGCAGGGATGTATCCCTAGTCCCTCATGTTGACCCTGCGTGTAAGAACTGTGCATAGGGACAGTTGGCCTGATAACTTAGCTGGCTACTACGTGATTAGTGGGTGCTTCTCATTTATGTAGCATGGATATGCTGGACCTAGGGTAGTTCACAGCCAGCACAGATGAAGCAGGGCACTGGAAAATTTCCTCATGGTACTCAGAGGGACATGTACTTTAAAATTTGTGAATTGTTTATCTTTGGAATTGAATATTTTCAGATCACAGTTGACTGTGGGTGACTGCAGGCAGAACTGTCCTGGAGGTAGGGACCTGCTGTGCCGGAGAGTGGGTATTTTATAAAGAACAAACATTTATTTCTTAGAGTTTTGGAAACTATGAACTCTGAGTTCAAGGTGTTGGCATCTTGTGAGGGCTGTCTTGCCATGTTCTCCCAAGGCAGAGGGCACAAGGGCAAGAAAGTATGGATCATTGCCATGGTGACTTTGTATGTCGGCGTAGTTCTTTCCTGAGGGCAGGATTCTCAGGACCAGCACCCTTCTCCGAGGCCTGCCTCTCATTGCAGAGCACTGGGGATGAAGTTCAGGAAACCTGAATTTTGGGTGATGCTTTCATCCATAACAATATGCATTAACAATTTGAGAGGGAGATAGAGCAAATTTTTGTTAATTGCCTAGAGGGGTATGATTACATCATCATGTATCATAAGTGTGATAATTATTAGTTTCTGTTTTATAAGTGGTAATAGAAAAAGATGGCAGATGTTTGAAGTTTTAAAACACATTGTCAAGAACTGTGGAATAAATGTGTTCCTAGTGAGAGAGATGAGGGCAGTGTGTCTGTTTTTTAATTTAAACATTCACTGTATTTTTTAATAACACTGCATTGAACAGATGTTTGGGGTGTTTTTGTCAATATTAACTGTGTGTCTATATCCAGTTTATTTACTGGATCTGCATCATGTGATTTCTAACCCTTTCCCAAAAAGGTAAACATTTTGAATTGATGTAGGACATTGAAGCAGCCTTGTCAGCTCAGTTAAGTACACTCAGGAAAGGGGACTTCTAGAACTGCTTTACCAAGTGGCAAGAACAATGACAGATTGTATTTGAAGCCAGGAGAAATGTTTTGAGGGGGATTAATAGCAGTGTATCTTTTGTAATTAAAAAAATTTTTTAGACATTCACCATATATTTTAATCACACTGTGCATATATATTATTTTCGCATTTAAACATGAGTATTAATGTCATAAAAGAATTATAAAAGGTTCAGTTACAAGTGTGTTCTCATGTCATTGCTCTGCATTTTTCATAAACTCTGCTGATTTTGTGTAGTAGCCTTCCTATAGTCTTCAGAGGACCACATCATTCTCTTACTCCTGATATTCATTACATTTCCTTCCTGTCAGCATTTGGGTGTGTCCTGTAAAATAGGAAGCTGGGAAGAAAGTTTCCTGTGTGGTCTCCAGAGACTTTTCTCATGCAGTTTTTGTGTCCATCAGGAAAGCAGTATAGATTGGTGGTTAAGTGTGGAGACTGTTTTGAATTCAGGCTGCACTGTTTCTTATTTTATATATATATATATATATATGTATGTATATATATATTTTTGAACAAGTTACATAACTCCTCTGTGTCTCAGTTTCCTCATCTGAAAGGTAGATACAAAA